TTTTTTTTTTTCTATCGGCATCATTAGTGCGTACTTCTGCTCCTACTCACCCTGGCAATGTCAGCGGCCAGCTGCTCCTGGCTCCTCAGTCTGGAGTACTCCTCTGCGATGTGATTGGCTGCCTCCTCAGTCAGCACAGGCGTAACAGACTTGGCAATGTGGATGTACTTCCTCATGAACTCCTTGCTCACAACCTTGTCCCTGAAACGTTTTTTATAAATATTAAAATCACATTTCTGGTTTTTTATTTCTTTCAATCACAACAGGACAGTGAGTGTGTGTTCATACCTCTTTCTCTTGCTTCCATGCAGTAAGTTGTTGTGCTTCTCATAGACCTGTAGCTCCTCTTCTTCCTCTACTATGGCGTCTGGATCATCCGTAGCAAGTACATCTACAGTGCCTCCCAAAGTCATCGCTATAAAAATAGAAAACCGGGAAATATATCCTTATATAAAGATCCAAAAAAAAAAAAAAAAAAAAAAAAATCTTTGACTGGGAGAGTTCAACGGCGTTGCTAATCGTCGGTACCTGCACCCTCCTGCTCGCGTGAGTCACGGTAGCGGTGCATCCTCAGCACGTGGTCGGAGATCTCGCGGTCCATTTCGGGATCCATCTGATCCAGCACAATGAAGAGGAGGTCGAAACGAGACAGCAGCGAATCCTGGAGGCCAATGTTCTCCATCGGCGTTTTGTACTGGTCGTACTGCAGAGAGACGAGTTTTTAGGATTTCGATATTTTTAATTCAACTAAAATAACGGCGTATGCTAATTTCGCTAACATTTATCTCAACTTTTTGCAAAGCATTCTGAAGCATATTCATAGTTTAAAAACTTTCAAAACATATCCTCTAAATCATTGATTCCCAAAGACTGGGTCTCAACCCTCGGGTGGGTCGCAAGAGATTTTTTTGGGGGGTCATCTCGCATCATGTTTCCCAGGAGTTTACGAATACGATACGTGCTGCGTGGCTACTTACTCTGCCGTACACGGGGTTAGCCGCCGCTAGCACAGAACAACGAGCATTGAGGCGCGCGTGGATGCCCGCCTTGGCGATGGTGACGCGGCCCTGCTCCATCACCTCGTGGATGGCCGTGCGGTCCATGTCGGACATTTTGTCGAACACGTCGATGCACACAACGCCGCGGTCGGCCAAAACCATGGCACCAGGCTCCAGACGTCGCTCACCTGGAGGAGAGAAGACGTTGTTATGTTGTATGAAATTTAGCTAGGAAAAGTTTGCCACTACCTGGAGGAGAGAAGACGTTGTTATGTCGTATGAAATTTAGCTGGGAAAAGTTAGCCTATTCTCCTTTTCAAAATGACGGTTAAAGTATTAAAAAAAAAAAAAAAGTTTAGCAGCATACTTTTATACTGAACTCATTTTATGAACTCATTTTATACTGAACTCAAACATTTTGAGTTTGCGTACACAGGGTATATTTGTACATTTTTAGCACAGGTCGTACCAGTCTCTTGGTCAGTGGTCACAGCAGCCGTCAGACCCACACCAGAGGAGCCTCGTCCAGTGGTGGCAATGGCTCTGGGTGCTGTGTGAAGCACGTAACGCAGCAGCTGGGACTTAGTAACTGATGGATCACCTGTAAAAAAAAACAAAACAAAAAAAACAAAAAACATGAGTTTTGTCTTATATTAAACACCAATCAGGCCAAATGTAAACACTAGCAGGGATCACTCTGGTACCGATGAGCAGGACGTTGATGTCGCCCCTGATGCGGGAGCCGTTTTCCAGCACTTTCTCCACACCTCCGAGCAGCATGCAGAGGATGGCCTTCTTTATGTACTCGTGACCGTGTATGCTCGGAGCCAGGGAGCGAGCCAGTTGATCGAACACATCCTGAGTGCAAACATGACACAGGTTAAATCCACATCAAGTCTATTTACGCATGTTGTTTTGCACCGTGGAAGACACGGCCGGGCTGAGAAGACTCACTATGGAGCGGGACTGGCTGAAGTTGCGGATTTTGGCCACGTCGCCGCTAGAGAAATTGGGCGACACCTCCTTGCTCATTTGCTTGACGTTGCAGGCGATCAGGATGGTTCTGAGTTGGGAAACAAAACAGATTTATTTAAAAAAAAAAAAAAAAAAAAAAAAAGTCCACTTCCCGCTTTAACACAGATGTTAACTAACTGACCTGAACGTGCCAGATGTGAATCCTCCTTTCTTTCCCGGCAGACAGCGGTATGTACCAACCACTTGCACTCTGTCCCCGGGTTTGACCACGTCCACCAGGTCGTTGTCCAGGATGATGTCCACGGAGCGAGGCAGCTGACCGGCAGGTGCCTTCTCGGGCATCTCCTGCACTGTGATGGTCTGATGGTCTTTGTAAATAGACAGACCGAACTCCGTCTCCAGAGGGTTGTTCTCCTCATCCTGTCAGAGGAGGGAAACCATGTGAGTAGGAAGGATCCTGGGAAATGGTACAAGGATCATATATGGTGATCCCTCTCCTATCGCGGTAGTTGTAGTACACCAATAGTACACCAAGTACGCACTGCAATAGCCGATCTCGTCTAGGTAAACAAAGCTACATCACCAGCGATCGTTCGCAAATGCGCTTATCTAAATTTCTAGTTTATCCTTTGCTATATTTCATAAGATCTGATTTTTTTTTTAAACCGCGATATAGAGAGGGAACACTGTAAACAAAACCGTATCCACAGTTACCTTGGTGGGATAGATGGCACTGGAGGGGAAGGCGTCCAGAGATGTCATGTCCGTGTATTTCCTTTCCATGGTCTTTTTTGTGGTCGGACAGTAATGAACGCTGCGCACTACTTTGGGGCGCACCAAAGAACCTGCAGAAAGAATAAAAAAATGAATGCTGAATGTCCGCTTTTGAAATACAGTCCCTAAAGCAGTCAGTGCATTACTAAAGATATAAACTTAAACTTACACTTTGTGATAATGCCCTCCACACACACCATGCTGCTCAGCAGGCGCGAGGTCAAAGTTCGAGGGGTGACGTGTTTGGTGCCGAAGCTTCCCTCCAGGCCAATGAAGAACTCCTCGTACTGCTTGGCGTACGTGGCGTCCACGGATGCCACCACGTCTTTAAGAGCGCGCTGAAAAGCCAGCAGCTCTTCAAAGGCATTGCTCATCAACCTGGAAGACGAGTCGTCGTTTCCATCACGGACGTGGATATCATGCTCGACAATTTCATTTTTGTTTTGTTTTGCTTTTCAAAATGCTACTGTGTACGTTTCCGTTTGAAGAGTTGAATTAGATTTAGCTAATCAGGAACTGCCTTAAGAAAAAAGTTCCTTTATTCAAGATCTACCGGCATTACTGCCTCCTACTGGTTTGGAGGTGATGAGGCAAATGACTCAACAACTTTAGCCTGTAAGCAAACATCAATAGCAGTGCAGCTGAAAACAACTATCTCCAAATACATTGGTTTGAAGTACACACTGTAATACACTACAACCTTGCAGTAAAACATGTTTTGTTAGGTACCAAACGTACTCCAAGATGTCATGGAAATGAAGGAAAATTTTAACACTCAAACTAAATACTTAGGTTCTAATAACTTTTTAAAATATTATTAATATTCATATTATATTCATAACCATGTAGTAAAAACTGATTTGTATTCACTGATGTGTCTGAAATGTATTATTATCTCACCAGAAACGTCAAAAATATTTGCCAGAAAATAACCAATCACCACACCACTTATATACAGCTCCACACACAAAGATAAGGCAATACTCACTTTGAAGCCCGTGTCTCGTTGCGTCGCCTTAAGTCGTTAACGTTGACGATTAGTCGAGATTTGTTGTCGCTGATCATATTCCGGACTTTGTTCTGGTAAATTCCCTGGTCTTGCTGCAAATGTCAGAAAAACTCCGGTCAGCCATTTTACCACAGTAAGACACAGTAAGAAGCTAAACTTTACACTAACGAAATTAATCATCATAAGCCAGGCTTTAGCGTCAAACTTAGAGTTGTTTCTAACAAATGGCGACTTTGTTATGGCCGCATGTGTCCCTCATTTGCAGAGTTTCTCAATACAAAAGCCAGACTCACATCATCGTCCAAAAAGTCCAGATAATCTCGCTGAGCCTCCCTCATCTCCCGATCATCCACCATGTCGGTTGCCATTCTGGAAGATTATTTTTCTCACGTAGACGTGAATCTACAGTAAAACAAATCAGTAACGCTGTGTTCTTCTCCGCCGTCAAACCACACAACTGATGGCGTTTCGCGCCACAGCTTGCCGGCCGCGAGCTAAGTACGGGACGTCATTGGTCAAATCCCCACGCAGTATTTACATAGACCGCGGGTAAACGTAACCCTGGCCAATAGAATCTTTGTTGTCGTCATAGGAGCCCGCCCCTCCTTTGACTCCCGCGAAAATGGAGCAAAGAGAAGGCAGAAAATGGAGGCAGGATTTTTTTTTTCTACTACTTGCAGGCGTTTGTTTGTTTTCCGTTTAGCCAGGAGATGGCGACATAAACGCAGACCCTTGGAGACATACTATATTCTTTGAATTTAAGTATATTTATTATTAATCATTTTAGTCATTCTGTTCACAAATTATTATTATATTATCTTATATATACACCTGAATATTTAACTAACCACTGACAAGTTATGTACTATTCTAATACATATGTTTAAATAACTGTGTATAATTATCTCATTCTTTGACGTTTGTTCGTACTATTGTTTTGACATTATTTTCTTAAATGTCCCAAGTTGTTTTTAATATTTAGTAGCCTGTAGAAAAGAGCATGGCCTTATATTTTATTTAAATTGTTATATTATTATGTTATATTATGTTTCAGAATGGTTTGTTTTCATCCTTCTTCTTTTCCTCTGTGACAACAGTTTCTATCTAAATCTATAGAGTATAGATTTGCACCATTCAATCCCCTAACCGGAGCAGTATCATATACCCTAAACATGAAAAACAATATGTAAACAACAAGAGAAGATGATAGTCAAAATTGTAAGTCAACACTCAAACTGATGTTGACAATGGCGATGTGGGCGTGGCCTTAACTCTTGACTCCACCCACTGTTGAAGTTCTCCCTGCTGCCGGTGTGTTGTTGCGTTTAGGTTTTCCACCTGAAAAGGGCGCTTTACCTTACTTTCCAGTTTGTAACTTTTAATTTGGTCAAACGATAAAGGGTGGGTGTGCAGAGTGAAGTAGGACTTTTTGTTTTTTTTCTCACGCCTCATCGCTGAGACCAGAGGCTACAGAGCAGCAGCAGCAGGTGTGTAGATAAACACGAGCAGGTGAGAGGATGATGGTGATGGAAGTGACACTGATGATTATTTCTCTGCAGACTTTGTCGTGACCTCCTTGTGCTGTGAAACATTAATCAAAGAGTGAAGTAGGACTTTTTGTACACAAGTTATGTGAATGAACCAAATACAGTAGGCGTTTCAACCAGCGTTATTTCATCCTAATTGTGAGCTAATTTGCACATTTGTTTTATTACAAAACCTTACAACACACAACACAACAGAAAGAATAGTCACAGTGTCTGCGACTACAATACTCTGCATTCTTGGCTCTCTGGAGATTAGATGTTTTGACGACAAACCTGCTTTTCCACTGTGCTTAAAGAATGTCCATCCGTTCGAAGGACGGAAGTGACGTTTCAGGGCCTTTATGTATTATCCATCAAGTGGGCCGGACCAGTACAATGATAACATGATTAACTATAAATAACAAATACTCCATGTTTTACCCCTTTTGTTTTGATGCAAACAAGTACAAGTATTTTAGATATTTATGATTATTTATTCATATTTAATTAAATGTAATGTTTACAAAAAAATCCTATAATGCAGGGGTGTCAAACATACGGCTCGGGGGCAAAAACTGGCCCTCTAGGCCGTTCAATCCGGCCCACTTGATGAATTTTGAAAATAAAAAAAATACACAAATCCTTTATGTTCAGATCATGGGTTTTTTTTTCTTTTTAAATATCCAATATAATTTTTTTTATTTTTAAAATTCATCACGTGAGCCGAATCGAACACCCTAGCGATTTGTTTCTCAAAGACTGGGTTGCGACCCTCAGATGGGTCGCAAGAGTTTTTTTTTTTTTTGTTTTTTTTTTTGGGGTCGTCTCACGTCATGTTTCCCAGGAGTTTACAAACATTGTCTATTGATTATTGGCTCTTCGCGTTTCCAAAACTAATTACGTGTGCGTGTACACAAATTAAAGAATGTGTTTGATGTGTGCACGTCTGACAATTAGGTTAAATGAATTAGACAGTCTCTGCATGTTTCGCATTTAAAAACAACAACATAATTGTCGCTGCATCATGTGTTAGGCCACAAACATCTTTTCAAAAATCGATTAAACCAAGACCTAACTTCTCTTCTCTTTTTTTTTTTTCTATTTCCACAGCCTCAATTTTAGGTGAACTTTCCAGATATTCATCTCTCCCTCTATGGCTGGAATAATCCTGCAATATGTGAGCACGCTGACCTTGAATCTCAAGCACCTTGGCTTCCCTCCCCTCTCAGACCGCATCCCGTCCTCGCTGCCATCACCCGAGTCCACAGTCAAGGCCTCCCAGGTGCCAAACCTGTTCCGGGAGCCGTACATCCTCTCCGGTTACCGTCCTGTGCAGCAGGATTGGCGCTGCTACCTCTTCAGCCTCTTCCAGAGACACAACGAATCCCTGAATGTGTGGACTCACGTACTTGCTGCTCCGGTGCTGCTGCTCCGGTGGTGGGCCAACGCGGGTGCCGTGGGGTACACCTTGGACACGGTGTCTCTCCCTCTGCTCTTGTTCCTGTTGTCTTCCTTGACTTACCTCTTCTTGAGTGTGATGGCCCACCTGTTTCACTCCCACTCGGAACATGCCCATTACTTCTTCTTCTTCATGGACTACACCGGCGTTGCGCTGTACCAGTACGGCTGCTCGCTTGGACACTACTTCTACACGTCAGAACCTTCCTGGAGGGAAAGCCACGTCGGGCTTTCGTTTCTCCCCGCTTCCGCGTTCCTTGCGTGGCTCTCGTGCGCCGCCTGTTGTTTTGCCAAGTCCAGGTACAGGCGACCGTATCCAGTGCAGCGGAAAATCTGTCAGATAATCCCAAATGCTCTGGCGTACCTGCTGGGCGTTAGCCCCGTAGTCCACCGCCTGTTCACCGTCTCCTGGACGCAAGAGCCATCCCTGCTCTTCCATGCCCTCCAGGTTGCCTCCTTCCTGTTGTCCGCTCTCTTCTTTTCCTGTCCCATTCCCGAGCGTTTCTTCGCAGGCCACTGTGACTTCGTCGGCCAGGGTCACCAGATCTTCCATCTGTTTCTGTCCCTGTGCACCGTGTTCCAGCTCGAGGCCTTGTTCCAGGATTACGCCAGGCAGAGGCGCACGCTGGTGGAGGTTTTTGGAGAGAGGCAGGGGGGGTGGGCCTGCGTGGCTCTGCCGGCGCTGTTCGTGTGTTGCATCCTGACGGCGCTGCTCGTGACCAGACACGTGAGCAGGCGGCCGGGGGACAAGCGAGAGAAAGGCGAGTGATGAAGACAAGGAGACAGGCCATAACGTCAGCCGCGGTTACTACCTGAAAACGACCTAGACACTGTGTGAATACATGGACAAGAAAGACACCAACGAGCTAACCTCAATCTTTGGCCGTCAAGTCAGAACCAAAGATCCTGCCAAGAGGAGAGCTTTGACTCGGACACCCGTCCAAAGACACGGAACAGACTGAACAGACTGCAACACTCCCTAATGGACATTGTCTATAAACAGAACTAAATCACGATCCTAATTATAATTATTATAAACATTACTTAGAGCTGCAACGAATAATTATTGTGGGTAATTTAATTGTGACCTATCTACCTCAGCGTGGTGCTAAATCATTAGGGGACCTGAAACCCTAGTTAAAAAAATTTTGAAGTATTGATACAATAAAAAAGAACTGTGCTAAAATATTCATCTCTGACTTTTCTCTTTGACATTTCAGATGCGTTCGATTTTTTTATTTTTTTATTTTTTTTTGTTCTCTACTCACGGTTGTCTCACTGTTACTGCAACGCTGTGCCTCGGAGGTTTTTCCACAGTGAGTCATCGTAACATTTAAACCCTGCTGATTACTGATTTTGGATCATGTCGAGCAAATCAGCGCAGAAGAACAAGCAAGTTCATATTAACGTCGTTCAGCCGTGGATTAGAGAATTCTATTCGTTGAGAATGAAACAAATAGAGGGATTTAAAAAAATAAAAAAAAAGGGCTTAGTGGTTAAAGTCATACATAATTATTTGTCTGGTTTGGGAGAGAAGACAACTCTGCCCTGTAGAGGCCAAACACAGGAACTGCATGACATATCGTTTTAATACTGACGTTATAATTACAAGACCTAAATTCGAACGTCTCACCTTGTTTTATATAACCATGTGTATTGTGTTTATTTTAAAGCACACAGAGGTACAGCAGGGGGCGCCTTATTTCATAGCTCAGCCAGACTTAAAATCTTAAAAAAAAAAAAATTTGTAAAAGCAGTCCAAACCAAGAGCAGAGAAATACATAAAATAAAAAAATAAAAAATGAAAAATTCGCAGCTACAGAACTCTAACATGAGTCTGTAAAGACGGACTACATAAAATAAAAAAATAAAAAATGAAAATTTCACAGCTACAGAACTCTAACATAAGTTTGTATAGACGGACTACGGTCGATCAGTGTTGTCGACCCTGTTTGTCCACACAGAGACCTGTTTGGTGTCTGGTTGTTCCAGTGTTCATGTGTGCTGACCACACCTTCATTTTTTCTTTTTAACATGTTTTAATATGTAACGTTCACATTTCCAGTTGATGACTGTAGATGACTCAGTATCGCTTTGGTGAATCAGAGCTCGAGCCTCCCTTTGAGAGTAGTTTCCCTCCTCGGTCAGGCCTGTCGCTCTAGGCTCCCCACTGAAACTGGAAACCCGAAAATGTTGACACTGTAACGAAGTTTCTCGAAAGAAGGTCCATAAATTGCAACAGGATTCTGGTAAACAGACTGCACTCGAGATCGACCGGTCGTGCCTTTTGTATTTCCAGCTGACGGCTCATTCTGAGCGTGTGCTCTGTCAGGGACCAGGAGAGGGAGCTCACACTCATACATACTTTTTAATGAGAAAATGTGGCAGTACACGTTATTTTTTTTTTTTTTGGGATTTGCTGTCATCGAAGGAAATTGGAATTGGAAATTTGGTGTCTGCAGGTCACACAAACCAAAATATCGGAAGTCGGAATCGAGGGGAATAAATGACGCTCTCGACCAGAAAGGCAGATCATCACGTGATTTCAGTGACATCACGTGAACCTTCTGTCTATCGGAAACATTATACAGATGCTTGTTTACATTCCAAACACTCCATATACGATTATTCCATTAATACAGGCTTTCTTCTCATTGCCTTAAAACTCCATTGTGCTTTGAACTAGAAAACCAAACCATATCGTTTTCTTGTCAAAGACAGAACAATTAAAATTGCATCCATAGATTCTATAGATGCTGCCATTACTTGATCTGCTGCACAAGACGGCCGTAGAAAGGAGGGTCTATCAGACAATGATGGGTGTACAGTGGGGGCATTACTCAACTCAAGGCCCGGGGGCCAAATGCGGCCCGCCAAGCCGTGTTGTGTGGCCCGCGGGAGCTTAAAAAGCATTTAGTAAAGTCCATGCAGCAGAGGTGCTTAACCTGAGAAATTAAACGTTTTTATAATCAATCCAATAATAATCAATTGCAGAAACATGTATTAGTCTGAAATGGAGTAGTTACATCTATACTAGAGGTCCCCAACCACTGGTCAACCAGTACTGCCCGTTAATACAGACCAGTACCGAGGTATTACATCTATACCAGCAGTCCCCAACCACTGGTCAACCAGTACCGCCCGTTACTACAGATTATTTAATAATACTACAGGATTATTAAATTTCAAAAATAAAACATGCGGCCCGGTACTAACTGACCTATGGACTGGTACTGGCCCGCAGACCAGGGGTTGGGGACCCAGATTTATACAGTCTTCCATTTACAACTGGCCCTTGAAGGGGAACTGTATTGCTGATGAGGCCCCCTGGTGGAAATGAGTTTGACACCCCTTCATTAGAGCATTGTTTCCCAAAGACTGGGTCGCGACCCTCAGGTGGATCACAAGAGTTTTTTTGGGTTGTCTCACATCATGTTTATCAGGAATTTACGAATTTCTACAGATTACAGTTGCGAAAGTTTTAAAATATGGGTCCCCAGAAAATGACCTTTAACCTTTCTAAGTTATATCTCCTGACCCCGCAGTCAAAAAAAAACCAACCTCTTTGTCCTTCAAAGAGGTCACCATCTGTCCTAAACTGAGTTCGGTGTCAACAAAGACACACTGCTGTTATGTCCCTGAGTCACATGACTCCACCTGTCCCTGTCAAAGTGATCGGTGCAGTTTTTAAAGTCCTCCAACCACCACGTGCACAAAACCAAACTGCACCTTTGAACCGCAGCAATCCAAACACGGCCGCTTTTGGTCTACAGCCAAATCCTTGTCCCGCGTCGGAACAATGAACCTTCTTCCTGTAATATCGATCATGTGACCAGTGGCAGCTGTTTCCAGCCAATCAGCTCTCAGTCTACAGACACTATAAATACGAACCTATATGTATCTCAGTCATCATAGAGGTCTATTGATGATCTTAATGTATGTATATTATTTTATTACAGAACATCAGGTAAACTTCTATGCTTAAACTTCTATTCTCTATGCAAAACGTATGCAGTTTTGCATAGAGAATAGAAGTTCATTTAAAAAAAAAAAGTGTAAGGTTTTGCATAGCGAGTTCACCGGGTGAAATATGATCAAAGAAAAAAAAACAAACCCAACAATGATCATGTTTGTGAGTCATTTCATGGTTGATTGGTTCTCACGGTAGCTGAAATGCTGAAAAGAATTTTCCACGTGGGAAACGTGGGTGTTGCAGGGAAAAGGCGGAAGTATTATGATAACATAAATTATATCATTTGGAAAAGTTTGGCAGGGCCGCATTAAAAAGCTGAACGGGCCGCATCCGGCCCCCGGGCCTTAGTTTGCCCATCCCTGGCCCAGGGCATCACATACCTGTATACCTATTAAAAAAAAAAAAAAAAAAGAAAATTTCCGATATTTTTACTAGGAAGTGTTAATATAGTATAAAGGCCACCACTGAGAATGTATTTCAGGTTAATAATAATACATATACACACACGCACACACACAATGGGGATGTTTATGTGCTTATGTCAGCACTGCCTTCGAGACAGACAGGACTGCAGTCCCTCCCTACGTCGCCCTGCACCTGTGACTCACATAAAGCAGAAGCGGCCGAATGACTGACAGCAGTTGGTGTCGGAGCGACAGCGCAGTTGGACAGCATCAGTGTGAGTTTTGATGGCAGATTTTTTTTTTTCAAAATGCTCATTGTTTATTGGTTGTCGTCTTTTCTGGTTGTTTAATACTTTCATATACAAATGTTTGGGTTACTTTTTGTTTGTTTACTCAACCACAATCTCTGTCAGTTTTACACCGTGTACATATACTATTTCAGGCTCACAGCGTGAACCGCGACCATGGCTCCTCCAAGTTTGGTTGACATGCCAGGTTGGTTTTCATCACCGGAGGTGGGGATCGTCTCACTTGTCGTGTTCGTCATCCTCAGCATTGCTCTCCTTGCCCTTTGTGCCCAGTGTCGCAGGTGAGAAAACGTTGTGCCGCAAATATATATGTATATATATATATATATTTATTATATTTCTGTAAAACCCAACCCTCGCGCTGACTGTTTGCGCTGCTGGATGTCGTCAATCGAAAAGAATTTGCTGTAGTAACGCTGACCAACCCTGTGCACAGTCATTGAAAAGACGAGAGACGAACGAGGCTTTTCTTCCTATTCATCCCTCTGCAGGAGCACAGAGGACAGACTTGTTTGACTTGATAGACATTTCTTAATGATGGGTGTGTCCCGTTGTTGGAGGAAGTGGAGCCAGAGAGGCTGAGTTCAGCTGATAAAGCTTTAATAGCACATGTTCGCTTGTTTGTATATCCCCGGTGCTTCTCAAATAGCGGGGCGGGCCCCCCTGGGCGGGCACGGTGGGATGCCAGGAGGGTCGTGAGGGGCTTCCGATTGGAATATGGCATCATGGACTATAAGTGTTAAAATATTTCTGTCCCCAAGGGAGGGGCATGACAGAAAATAATTGAGAACCACTAGTATATCCGTTGCTGCAGGTGCCAAACATACCAAAGAGTGTGAAAAGGGGTGAAATCCTCCCCATTCCTACACCAGGTTGGTCACGCTGAGGAATGCTACCCTTTCGGGGTGAAGTCATAGTTGTCAATCAGCAACCACTACTACAGTGCTGACCATCACGCTGTTGCTACAGCACAGTAGCTTATGCTAAACTGCTAAATTAATTTTTTTTTTTTTCATATTTTTTTTAATTCATTTATCAGCTCTTTTTTAATGGCTTCGCTGAACATAAATATCTTTCAATAAAATATCACTCACGGGATAGAAATGACAGAATAGTTCATAAAGAAGCTGGTTAGATTTAAATAAATATCTACAGTAGCCAGGTTCTACTGGCCGGCAGTGGTAATGCAGCCAAAGTGAAATTTAAAAAGCCTTTTTTTTTTTTTCATAGTCTTGTTTGACTTTCCATACATTCCTTTTAATACAGTGGGAATTCAGCCTGGTCAGTTTAATGTTTAATAGTTGATACCCAGAGCCGCCATCTTTGTTTTGAGATTGAAATTTGAACCACCATGTAGGAAGTTTCTGGGAAACCTTGCCTCATCTGATAGACTTCTTGTGAAAACTTCAAAGTACTTTTTTTTTCCAGTAAAAATGTTTAAATTCAACTCAATTCTTTTTTTTTTTTTCAGTAATTTTTTTTTAATACAACTCAAATTAAAAAATTCATTCCAGGGTTTTTACAACGTTGTCAGACTTTTGAATCGTGCAATTAAGTGCGATAAGGCGAACTCAGAGCAGGATGTGACTATAAAGGTTGGATTTATGA